CGTGTCCTGAGCTGGGGAAAGCCCAGTGTCTGCTGGCAGTGGCGACATCCGCGCTCAGCAGACTCGCGGGCCGCGTCTGTTTGGGGCTTCCTGCGCCCGCGGATCCGTTTCCCACCAACGGCACAGGGTTCAGTGCATAAAAATGAACCCGGAAAGTCAGCCCGTGCGGGGCGTCCGGTCCCCCTAGAGCGTGGCACACGCTCGTGGCCCCCAGGCGCCGAGGCCTCGGCCGCTGCCTCCGCACGGTCCTGAGCGCCCTCCTGTGCCGATGTGACCCCGCCGGTGGCGCTCTCTGGGCTGCCTGGACGTGGCTGTGCCCCGGAGGCGCTCGTGAAGGGCCGAGGGACGTCCAGGCCGGGGGCGCCTCATGCGCCCCTGCAGCTAGGAGGGCGCTTGCGTGGGGGTTGGAGAGCGGCCGCAGTCCGGGCGCCCTCGTTCCCGAGAGAGGGGGACCCCCCCCAGTGCGGAGCCGTCGCAGCTCTCACGGGGCCTGAGCGGGGAGGACAGACCGGCTCGCCCAGCCGCCCACCCCGCAGCGGGGACAGCCCCCAGCAGGGCGAGGCCGCTCCCGGGGCCGGCCAGCACGTGGGGCGAGGCGGCTTGCTTGAAGGACCGAAATCCGCTCAGCAGGCGCCGGCCGCTCCCCTAAAAGGCTCGGAAACTCTCCGTGTTCGCTGTGACCGTTCATGTGACTTTTGCATAAAACAAATCCCAGCGCTCTGACCCACCGTGCCCACCTGACCCACCGTGCCCGCCCTGACTCACCGTGCCCACCTGACTCACCGTGCCCACCTGACTCACTGTGCCTGCCCTGACCCATTGTGCCCGCCTGACCCACCGTGCCCGCCTGACCCACCGTGCCCGCCCTGACCCAGTGCCCACCGTCCTTTGTCTTCAGTCCTTTGTCAGCAGCCATCTGAACGCTGCGGGCCAGCGTGTCTGTAGTGGACGTGAAGAGCCCCGGCCTGGGCGAAAGCACCGTGGCGCCGCCGGGTCCGGCGGGCGTGTGCGCTCGGTGGGGGCCTGAAGCCCGGGCTGGTCTCAGCTCGTCCAGCACCGAGGCCCAGAGGTGGCCTGGCGAGACAGCTGACGGGTTGCGAGCGCGCCCTGTGCCCACTGCGGCGTCGGCCAGCGGAAAGGCCGATCGGTCGCTTCGTGTCCTTGCTCAGTGTGCAGGCAGTGTGCCCTGCCCCTCCGCGGGTTAACCCTGCACGGTCCGTGCCTGGCCGCCGAGCCACGGGCCGCAGTCAGTGCGAGTCGCTCTGCAAAGCTCTGAGCGGAAGCCACGGCCTGGCCCGTGAGCCACCCGTGAGCACATGTCCCAGGAGCCGGCGCCGGCC